TCATAAAAAAGGTAAAATAATTCTCCGATAATTATCGATCTAAAACTTCGATAGTTAAGCAATCGGAGGATTTAAAGTTGCAACCACATCCAACAGACACGGATATTGTCAAATAATTGTCGAAGTATTAGAATGATACAATGGGTAACATCTTTCTTTGATAATTATCCGATAACATTATGCAATATCCCGCCTTCACGGACTTTCGAGCATCATGGCCGGACTACACTACAGTTGGATTTCCAGTATTAACCCACAGGACATCCTGGTTATATCAAGGTAGTAAAAGGTCACGCACGGCTAGTCAGATTAAGTTTGACACAAGTATACTGTGTGTCGGAACATAGGGGTGTCGGAACATAGTGGTGTCGGAACATAGAGATGTCGGAATATAGGGCAGTCCCCCTTCACAAAAGTGTCCCCCTCACTTTTCAGAATGGATCGACGCCCCTGGTGCTCTTCACTTTGTAATCGGAAGTTTCTGCTCCACTTAGAAGTGAATGACAAAACTGTCATATAATATTTGTCTTCGTTTAAACAATGGTAAGAAAGCTGAATTCCCTTTTAATATTTGATAGATTGCTAAATCGGAAAAATCCAAAAAACAGTGGATAACGGAATAAATGGTGTGCATTGACTTACCGCTGTATGTAGAGTTATCAGATAAAATCTTTGCTTTTACAAGTTCGCTTTGACTTTTATTTTTCATAGTCGAAACATATTCGCTTTCATGGCCCTCACTGATGCTACTACCGGAATTCTGCTAGAAAAAAAAACCCAGGGATATCAACACATAATACGATTATAAAAAGTGGAAACACTGGTTCTGGTTCGACGTTCTGGTTTACCCGTAGTTTCCATATCTACTGTATTAATAGAAATAACACCAAATAAACGGCTGGGCACATACTATTTCAAATCAAAGTTTATACGGTGTTATTTATTTGCTTTACTTACTATGTCAGCAGCTACTATGAGATAAACAATCTGTGATTGTTATGACAGAATGCAGCAAACGATTGGTCATCGTCGATATATAATAAATGTAATTTGTGAAGTCGGTATCTAACTGAACAGAAAGTGTATATATGACAGTGTAATATATAGGTTCAAAAAAGGCGACATCAACGGTTTGACAATATCCGTTAGATTCTAATCTACTGCCTTTCTGTATTTTATATTCTAAAAATGTTCCACTATTAATATGTGCATAATAACATATTCATACTTCGTGTTCAGCAATTATTGACATTAAATATTCATTCACTGCCTGCTGGTCTTGCATCTTAAAAAACAGCCATGACGTCATAATGATACATATTGTGGTGATTACTATGCAAAAAATGATTGCGAACAGTAATATGCCAGTCTTTATATTCAGCGTGGTCTTTTCCTTTTCTTGTGACATCGTGATTTGATGCTTACAGTGCAGGCAACTGTATATTAGGGTAAGAGCGCAATGGGTTTTTATAGGCAAATTGACAAGAACTGATAACCAGAGATGGAGGGGTGTGATACACACGTCATGGCAAAGATGTATGCGTTTTTAATTTTAATTTAGAATATAATTCATGTGCACAATGTAAACACATTCAGTGAAATTATCGGGCAGCCCTATTTACAAACACAATGATATACACGATTTACTGTAATCGGAAACCCATCTATATGCAGCTCTTCCCCATGCTTACAAAAGTGAACGATTCCTGATACTACTATTTATCTTCTACCTGTTTACTGTAGTGTTATCATCTGTGTGTCACGACAGTATTTACTTTGCCCGGGTATTTCTAATTACTGTTAACGGGTCACACAATGTTGTTTGTTTTCGGGGCTTTAAATCTTTAATTGGTCACGATGTTTCATAATTCAAACGGATCTTGTTTGTGATGTCACGATTACACGACAGAGACACATAACATGTTGTTGCTGTATATTCAATGTATAAAGCAAGTTCAATAGAACCTTGGAGTGGTTTATAGGGGTGGGTCAGCTTGGATTGTATTGCCGTTGCCCATATATCAGACTTTTGTCTAGTTAAGCTTGGAGTAAGCACAAAACACATATGAACAGGCTTCGAATTGAAAATGTTCCATGATTGATGATTTAATGTTGTTGGCAGGATAACTGTTCCATCATTGATGCTCGCATGAATCAACCACAGCAAAGGTAAACCACATCTATATTAGACGTGTTATTACACAGTGATTGTAGTACAACATTTATCACTAAGTGACATACCTACTTGGTTTTACTTCACGTTTTCCGTATCGATTCATTGCATGTAAACATTTTAATCAACCATTCCCTAAACATTACTTCCATTATCTTTATTACTACCACGTAGACTTTTAATATATTGAAGATAGTTACATTCACGTATACTTGTCTAATTTAGTGCACTCTTACTCACTCTTGCTATGTACCTGTACCATTCAATACTTAGCTAGTCTTGCATAGAAGATTTGACGGTTGTCTTAAAGTCACTCTATAGCTGTGTAACTGGAGTACACATTTTAATGACGATGACTGTAGGTTTCCTCCCTTTTTTCATTTGTATGGTAAATGTATTTGTAACGAGTATATTCCAATGAGTCCGAATTATTCGGCAAATTACGTTCAAGATAATATCTCGATATGTTGAGAGAAAAAATAAATAAAACGAAAATGGATTAAGACCAAATAACAGATAGTTTTCGAATGAAGACGAATATGGTGCAGGATCTGCGTTATGATATCATTTACGAATTACGACTTATTTACGTATAGAATGACTTATTATAATTGGAAACCCATATATATGCAGCTTTACCCCTGCTTACAAAAATGAACGATTCCCGATTAAACCACTTATCTTATAGCTGTTCACGATAGTGTTATCATCTGTGTGTCACGACAGACCGCAATAGGTTCTTTGTCGGGGTTTTTCGAATACGTAAGATAACCGTCATATTATGCTGTTGTTGTTTTAGTTTTAAATCTTCAATTGGTCACGATATTTCAAACAACTCCTATACCTTACTAACACTATCTTTATCACTGCCAGCTAGACTGTTAATATGTTTCATTTGTAGGTATATTTATTTGTGATCAGTATACATATATTCCATTGAGTCCAAATTCCCTGACAAATTACGTACAAAGTACTATCTCTACATTTCGGGAGAATTAAAAAAAAACACACTAAATTAGATATAAAACCAAGATAATATAATAACAGATAATATTTGAATAAAGACAAATAGTGTCAAGGATCTGCGCTTAAATGTTATTACAATTTAATGTTAATGTTTACAGGTACAATATAGGTATAGTATAATAGTAAGCTGTATCCTACTATTTTGCACTGATATAAATCGCCAGAGAAAGCACGTCGGATATGTGTAATATATGTCTGGTAGTTGAAGAGCTCACAACGCCTTTCACTGCCTGGCTAAATGCATCCATGCGTCACAATTATTATGAACACAGTATTCGCTACAAGTAAAAAGAGCGTCTTCGATTTTACATTGATAAAATCAAGAACACTCAAAGGAGTAAAAATATAATAATCCGTACTTAGCGTGTATGTGCTGTGCATGAACGC